GGTTGGCTTGTTTTAGGATCTTAACAAAAAGCAAGATATCCAAAGTGCACATACAGTTGTATATGATTAAATAAAAATGAATGATGAAAGATACAGTAAGTCATAGCCCACAGAAAAATAATTCAATAAAGAAAATAAGTGAATAAGCAAATGCTGGTATGGTTCTTTGCGGCTACTTTATTTCAGCCACTGTGGCTTAAGTAAAACATATGGAAGCACTGGGACACATTTTAAAGGAGCTTTAATGACAAAGACAGCTCAACTTGATAGGGCCCAAATGAATTAAAAACACTTTCCTTGGCTGTGATGCCTGCACAGTGGTATAGGATGCAAAGAAAGAAACAAGCATCAAGCTTTATGGCAGATGAATTTCACATTTACGAGTTCAACTAGTTGTTCACAACTTTGCAAGTGTTTTGAGAACCGGAAAGTCACATCATCAGAACTACTCCCCGCAGATGGCTGACTGGTCGAGCTTCCACCTGAAGCGTTCAATCAGCTGTCAGTGGATGTTTCATAGACTCAAAGTGAAAACAGAGCTTGGCATCTGATCTGTACTGTTTAAAGCTTAAACAACATGTTCAGTTGCCCCTGACTTACAAATCTTTTGGATGTATTTTAAGGTGGTTGCCTGAGAATCTTCATATACCGTATATATTTTCTGCTCTTCGCAAACATGAATTTATTGACCTCTATTTATTGACGCTAAGGCCTAAAACATTAAGCCATTCTGTACGATCATGTTCGACATATATAAACTGGTTCCTTCTTGGTTCACCTTGGAGCCAACAAAAATGAAGACTGGAGAGTAAAGTTCAGTGAACATTTATTTCTTAAGGCCCAGAGAACAAATGGCATATATACCAGGAAGTATACTGTATCTGTGAGATTCCACTGTTTAAAAGAAATTGAGTATTATCTTGCTAACCCCCTATGGTTAAAATGTTCAAGTAGTCCAACCAATTAAACTGAATTATTGAGCATTGATTATGCAAACTGATGAGCACTGATCAAACCAAATTTAAGCCATCAGTGCTTATGCCCTTATGAAACACTTTTGTTCGAATCTTCCTGAAGGGCATCATCTCTTTTGGCAGAGCATGGGCACTGATTTAGTTCAAGAGCTTGAAAAACAAATTTCATAAACTCTTCAATTACAAGATCCCTGCTCATAACAAAGCCTTATACAACAGAAAGCCTCTGTTCCTCTTGGACAAACAAACACAGCTCCACTCAGCTGTGGGCTTTAAGTATCCCAAACACCCACCCAGCACTTTCTAATACCTGCCTGCACAACACTGAAAAGAGAGCAAACACAACCTAAATTAGGGAGAAGCGTTCTGCAGCGAGTCTGCTACATAATCCTCAGCCCCGTCATATTGATCAGTACCGTTCAATCTCGTCCACAATTCCAGCAATTTCCCAAATAAATACAAATGTGACAAAAAGTGTTTTCACTGAAACAATTGTCCAAATTTTTATTTCAAAATAAAAGGTAACTAGAATAGGCTCGATTCAGGATGCCAAGGATATATTTTAAGAACCAGCTGTAGAGCAAAACTTCTAGGGAAAAAGAAGGGTAGAGAATGTGTATGTTTATGTTGCAATCTCATCTGAACTTAACAAAGCTGTCCTTTCAACAGTCTCTTAGGAGATGGAAAAAAATAATCCTTTCACCCTTAGAAGTGAATTGCAGTGATATTTCAAATAGATTATCTTCAATTAATGTTGTGATATCTTCAATATTGTAGTCAGTCATTCAAGCCTATTTATTTAATTGAAGAAAGTTAGTCATTGTGCTATCTGGTATCATTGTGTGCACTTAACTGAGCATGGACAAGAGAAAAAAATAGAAGAGAGCTGTCTGAGGTGGTTAACTCACGTGGGCACATACATTAATGAAATAAATATATACAATACACATATATGCCAAATATATACCTTCACATTGTAAGAGTATAAAAGAACACTGCATTTTCCTCATTCCAGATTATTATAAATTATAGCAGGACCAAGAAAGTTCTTTGCTGACACCAGATGCCAGTTCTGCTTTATGTTAGAATCACCATGACTCCATCTCTTTGTCACAACCCATTGACCCAGTGATGCATGTTTGATGCAAATGTGTGCAGGTGTGAGAAAGACAGTGTGTACGAGTGTGTTTGTACAGAGACAGAGACTGAGGATCTTGTCCTACAAAACAGAGCCCACTTCATTCCGCATCACACAGCAGCTATTCTGAACACATTGTGCCATGATTGGCTAAAACTGTATGATAGCAAATCAGTGCAATTAACAAGGTTGCAAGGAGGGCAGATTGGTGAATAATAGATTGTTTCTTTAGTATTACACATTGTTTTTATTGTACTTTTTACATATACAGCAGCCTTGGAGCTGAGTGCATTATATCTGCTTTTAAAGGTAATCTTTATACTGATCCTTTATTACTGTGTAAACTGGCTGATTAACAGACAGCATCAGTACGGAGACCAGGACAAGATGTTTACCATACCTCACCCTGACACTGGGTCCTTTTCTATCCTGCCTCTTCTGTCTCACCCTGTATTATCTTGTCTCACCTAGTTACATCTTTTCCTTGCTTTGGTTTCATTTGATTGTACAGCCCTTTCCCTGTAGCATCCGCCCATCAGTTTAAATATAACTATTTGGAAAATGGCAGGACTAAAAGCCAATGATTAACATATTCTGAAAGTAATCTTAGTAACCCCGATTTTTGGATTTGGAACTACAGTATGATCCAAATGACACCTCCCTTTATTGTTCCATACTGCCATGGGGAAATACTGTGCTATTAAATATAACAAAGTGCTATGATAAGATTGTTGGCTGGAGTCTGCAGGTCTGTATAATGTGGGTCTCCCTGGGCTACAGGTACTTTCATAAATATTTATTTGAAGCCTCAGGTTAGCATGAGCTGTGATTGGTTATTCTGCCAAGTAGTTGTCAGACAAAACATGCTGAAGCATTAAGTAAATCAGGAAGTATTTGCATACTGGTTTATATACAACTTAACTTGGCATGCAGGCACACAAGTCTGAGCTGCAAACAGAATAATCTTAGCTCTTGCTGGTAACCATCTATCCAGTATGTATTTAGTTTAACCACACTAAATGTACTTTCTATCCCATTAAGGAAACATAAGAAATTAGATCAAATCTGAAATCAGATGACTCTTGCCTGAATATGTATGGTTACCTTATGAATTCTGGCATCGTTTTTCTTATTTCACATTTTCCTGGTGAAGGAAAACCTCCAGCCTTTTGTAAACTTCATTCAAATTTTTTAATCCCCTCTGAGAAAACGATTGGTCCTTCAGGAGATTTTTTTTTTAAGTGCATAAACCTATAATAAGATTTTTCCAGCAGAAAATCTTGGCAGTTTGTTGGCCGTTAAGAAAATGACTACAAGGGGATTTGCTTTCAGTCCACTCTGTCTGAATTACAGGGCTGTTAGAGCCAAGGATCTGTGCTCAAGTCTCAGACTGCAATACAAAAAAACAGGAGCAGACTTTTTTACAACTCTAGACATGTCAGAGGTGCACACAAGTTGCCGTGTTACCATAAACCCTCGGCTCCCCAGTCCATGCTGGGAAAACTGTATTTGATGCTGTTGAGTTCAAGCTCTTTTTTTTTCCACCTTGTCTTTCATTCTCCTTTTCAAATTCTCTCACTCTCTATTCCACATAAACCTTTTCACCTTTTGGGAGTTTTGTGTTAAAAAGGGTGTTGAAAGCTTGAGGGCTGAAAGGTGAATGGATGCCACTCTTGGTAAATTGCCCATGAAGGACAGTCTGAGAGCAAAAGACAGATGACGGAGGAAACCGAACATAAAAGGCCAAGTGGGAATAAGCACCAGAGAAAGGACAGAAGAAAGGTTGAGGACAAAGGACAAGGTACAAATGGACAACTAGAAAAAGATGGTGAGTGAAAGAGAGTATGAGAAAGAAAAGGAGAACCTGTTAGAAAATACAAGGAGAAAGCACAGACGTGACTAAGGAATGAAAGATGTGGTTGCCAGTCATTCCTCTCCTTTGTCAAACTTGGGTTCTTGCTGTCTTCAAGGCCCAGACAGAAAATAGTGTGAATCAAGAGGACAACAGGGAACTGGGAGCTCTAGGCACATTGAAGAGGAACAACAGATTGCAGCATGAAACTGTCTGACCTGGAAAGTTTGAACCCAACTCAGAGAACCTGACAAATACAACTTCGGAGCATAATAGGACACTGAAATATTCACAAACCTTGGTTTTCCAAAAAGCATAAAATAATGCATTTGGGTATTCTATGATGAAACACCTACACAATAAAAATCTAAGAATTTAACATTGTGTTGTCTCTGTTAGCAGATACTGTATGAACTTTACCTGTGCATTTAATTGTATGCCTCCAATTTTGGAATGATTTGCATTTAGTTAAAAAACATTTCCTGATGACTGTTAAAAAAATAAACCTTCACCACGGCAAAATTATAACAATGTTAGTTACGTAAAGGTTTTAAGCAAATCTTCACAGCTTATTTCAATTTAATCAGGGCTGCTTTGCTTACAGTATTTGCAATACTTCTGGGCAATATTTTTTAATTACAATATCATTTTGCATTCTGTGACTCAGCAACAACTCTGATACAAATGGCTGGTTTTATCACCAAGACTTAATGAAACATGGCATTAGGATTTTATGTAAGATGAGGGTGTACTTTCCCAGGAAGTTCAGCAGCCCATGGCTCTCCCCAGCTACAGGATTTTCCATGATGTTGCATTATGCAAAAGCCAATAAAGCACTTGAAAACAAGGACATTTTCCACTTGAAAACAACTAATCTGTTGATAAGTTGTGCTGCATTTTCTGTACAATTTCAACGTTCCCTAAAGAGTTCTTATTGTAGTTCAGCTGATAAAACACACCTAAGTCATGCTTTTTGTAGTAAAAAAAAAAAAATGAAAGAAAAAAAAAAAATCATATTGTTTAGACAGAACAAAACCTCTTTGGAGCTGTATCTGAAGTGTTCCTCTTCCTCAGCTTCTGACAGGGCACACCAGAGTCCATGTTGGATTGACAGCCAAGTTGGAAGGTTTAGCCTAGCAGGGGAGCAAGGTAAACAAGCGTATGCTGAAAACTGGTTTAGCTTGCAAGCCATGGGCAGAAGGTGTTCCTGTATGTAACAATGGTGTTGAATACACTAGCATCAAAACTCAATGAATAAATATAAAAGTACAGCTGCTTACTGTGGTTCAGACTATTAACAACCAAACATGCAAACTGACCAGTGAATTCCCATTGGGTCTTTGTCTGGTTATTGTACAACAAGTGACACAAAAATAGAAATGTCCACTTATTTTAAATACAGAACAAACAGAGAAACCAGAGGATAGGCAGGGCTGACAGATAAAGCTGTAGCATTCTGTACAGTTCATGCACTAATATTTCAATGACATCCGTCTCTCACAGGTTTATCTAGCATGGAACATGATTTACAGAGTGACCAAAGCTGATATTAAGCATGGTGAGAAATAACAGAGGTGTAGGACAAGCTGATCTGTACTGTAGAGAGACAAACTGAACATAATATTATCTCCTTGTCTTCTCATTTATCTACTGCACCTGCTTTTCTTCCCATGTTTCGTGTCTCCACTAAATTTTATCTGCTGATTTCATTCATAGCTAGACTGAATTTTGCTAAATCAAGAAGTAGTTGGATGCTATGTTCTCTCTTTCCGGGGCTGCTTCATTATTCATCATTAGTAATCCTGTTCAATCAGAGCAGCCATGACTCCAGTCTCTCATACTGTCTTAAAAATACAGAAAAACAATGAGAAAACATTGCAGTGTGTGAAAAGAAACTCACACTGTGTACACAGAATATCAGTTCAAGGTTGTTCAAGGCATGATGGTAAACAATCCGTTATTATCTATAATCTTTAGTTGAAAAAATATTTTATTTGGAATCATATTTAAAGTAGCTGTATTCAGTTGCTTCACTCACTTTTAGTAGAGAATTTTTTTTGCACTATTGACAGGATATACAGAATATTTGTGCTTGTTTTCCCATCATTTCCTTTCCATGCCCAACAGAGGAAACCTCACCTGATCTCTGCAGTTACTGACAGTGGACATAAACAGATGGACATGTGCAAGTGGTTGTTTGCAAGAATACACATGTTTATGCACAAACACAGTGCACATGCACATTTTCTCACAAACAACAGAGGTCTGCATGCAAAGTTACACTCCGTGGGTCAGTGAGCATTGATGGAGAGACAGGTCATGGTGAACTAGAGGAAGGGATAAGGATTAGGGAAGGAGGTAGCATCTCACTGTGGGTGGTTTGAAAACAGCCTCTAGTTATTTTATTAGCCAGACAGACACACTGCGGGATGCTTTCTAATACCAGTGGTGATTTACATGGTTTCAGGGAGACACACACACACACACACACACACACACACACACATTGCATGCCTTCTTTAGCTACATCTGCTTGTTTCTCTGTTTTTGTTATCTATCCCAGAGAACATACGGCAGGTCATATTTTCTTACATTATTTTTTTGTCAGAGTTGTTAGTTACTTGACACATCAAAAACTAACTGCACTATTAATAAGTGTAAATGTGCCTATTCTACTGTGTTCTGTACTTGTTGCATTGTGGGCATGTGTGGGTGGACACACACAGGACAGAGACAATACACAGACATCCTGTGGGTAACTTTACTTCATCTGTTAACTTCACTTTGCGCCTTACAAGTGAAACAACTTGGAAGCATAATCTAGAAATGTTATGCTGGAATTCATTATTATTTACTTGTTTGTTTTTTTTCCAGGTATGCACGCATTTTGCATTGCTCTTTTGATGATTATTGCTTACTTTAAGTTTTTATCAGGCAAAAATGTCAAACATTCACTGGTTCCAGCTTGTCAAGTGTGAGATATTGCCATCTCAACATTACTGAACTGTACATCTCTGAACACTCTGAAGACATCAGTCTGAGATCTGAGAATTTGTGAGGTGTACATCCCTAACATGGAGCCCAGAGATGAGGCACTGAGAGAATGTCTGATGCAGCAGCAGACAGAGAATGATGGCCAAACAGAGGAAGTACCTGGGCAAGACAAGCTGCTGTATGGGATGTACCAGACAGCTAGCCGAGGTGGTTGACACTGGGAAATCCTACCAGAGGCTGGAAAAGGCTGGCCTATCAGACAGTGATCATAGCATCACAAGAACAGGCACTAAGTACCAGGTCAACCGAAGCAGGGCTCTACCACACCAGACAGGACACAGGTGCAGACTGTGCAAAGAGGCCTCAGAGACAATCCAACACAGAATGGCAGGATGTAAAACGCCACTATGCAGAGAACTCAAACTCCCAGACCTCTGCACACTACCAGTCAAGGGGAATACAATTTAGCTGAAGATCCTTGAAAAAAAAAAATAGCTTAATTGACTGAAAATCTATAGTTGAGACTTCCTTTATTTATAGTAACAATAAAACTGCTTTAAATGTGAACATATTTTAATTGCCTAATACAACAGGGACTCAAGCTGCACATTTGTTTATAAATGAAGCAGCGATACACAAAATATCACCTTGCACATAAACTCAAACTTTATTATGTATAACACATCAGTACTGGCCAGCCATTAGACTTACAAATGATTATTATGTCTGTTACAAAGAATGAAGTGCAACATTTACTAAACACACCACTAAACCGAAAAACTAAATGACAATAGCTCTTTTGAATGATGAGCTATTTTTGAATGATCTGTAGGTGTCAAAATGGGCTTACTCAACTCCTACTACTTCTATCATCACTTTTTAATGGGCCACATTCATCTTTGAAGTCTACCTAAGAGGCTCCAACAGGAGTGAGCATAAGCTCAGAGATTTCAAAACGGGTCTTCTGAGCAGAGTGACTTATCTGATGCCAGTGGGTGAGAGACGTGTCTAATGTAGTGAGACGCACAAGCCTTTCCTTCACACCTCTTATTCTCACATTCAAACTCTTTCCAAAAGAACCTTATACCCCACCCAGATTCCTTTTTTTGTTGTCTTGCTGTGACCCAGTTGCAAAAGTAATCTCACTGAAAGATCCTCTGCCTGCTCAACTCTGTCCTACTTATCAGGTCTGTCAGTCTCAAAACATTTCAACCATGATACTGCAATCTTACAGTATGCTACAGACAAAGTATACTGCTATTGATATATTATCAGGTTTCATTCACATGACTGGATGGTTTTATATGCATCACTGAACAGTGAATAGACACCAAAGATGTCACTCTGAATTTTTTTTTTTTTTAATCCTTCTTACTTATTTGCCCAGTCACAAGCACCAAGAGCCAGTAAAGCGACCCTGTAATGGGACCCAAAAGTGAATTCCTCATGCATGAATCTAATTTACTATCAATTCCATCCAATATTGATAACTCATTAAAGGCTTGTTGTCTTCAGTAAATGATTGAATAATGTGAATGAGCTCAATTTGATCCAATTGGTCATGCATGACGCAGGTTCAATACAATCAATAACTCATTCTCCCAAGTTTCACAGCTTGAAATGACCTTCAAAGCATCTCCACATTTCTGATTGGCTGTTTGACTCACTTGCTTCTGCTTTGCTGTTCTTGTGTTTGGTGTTAAAGGAGAAGGCCGGTGATGTTCTATGTGTTTATTTTCAAAACATCCCATACCAGAGGCTACATTTCACAACCAATTTTGTGTACTTGTGTGTATTTGTGTGTGCCATAAAGCTTGATTGCTCACTCCACCAGTGAGCCTCACCACTGCACTGGGTGACATGTTTCTTCCTCACAAAAAAATGCAACATTTGGTGTGTGTTCAAATTTAATTAATTTGATTTAGGGAATATTTACAGTAGCAGAGAAGACCCCAGTACATATCACTAAATTAGCCTGTAACAGTGAAAGGCCATCCTATCTAAAGCATCCATGATACAGACAAAGCTTTGGTGACTAAGTATTCCTCCACCCAGGGGAATTAAAGAGGGAAGAGGGCTCCAAGAAAGATTCTGGCAGATTCTGAATTATTGTTTTTTTCCCAGGTGGCTCCCTTTACTTTTCTCCCAGGGCTGTGAATACAGCCTAATCCCTCTTGCTTTGCCCGGCTGGCTGGTATATTTCAACTGTGAAGAAAGGCCCTGTAGTGGCTTAACAGGTGGTTTGTCTGACTCAGACACCAAAGCATAAGGCTAGAGTTGGGTAGAAAAGATGTTAGTAATAAGAAAAGATGCCACCAGATAAACATCAATCTTAGTACCTGCTGGTTTCTATTCTACTTTATCAAAATGGGGATGTTGTGTTCTAAAATTGAAGTTTACATAGAGAAACGGATAACAGACAAACCAGCAGAGAAAAAGAGGACGTTTGAGCACTATCTTCTATCAGGCTGATCTATAATTTCCAGCAACATTTTAAAGTTTCAGCACTGCTTCCACCAGTTACCACTGGAGAAAAGGAAACTGAATTGCCTCTTGCAATCACAATCTTTACAAAATGTCCATTGATTTTACTGGAGCTGAGAGGATTTTTATCACAACCTAGGCCCCAAGTATTTGCTTCACAGAAGGTACTTTCCAACAAACCTTTTTTTTTTTTTTTTTTTTACTTGCACAGGCAATGTGGACATATCTGAAAAAGCTCCATTCATTTAATTTCTCCATTGCAAATGACACAGAGGTTTTATACTGCAATAGCCTTGGAGGTGAACAGAAACTGGTAAGATGGGCTGTTAACAGTTAGGTGGTAATGAGTTTATGGCTGTGCATCCATTTGTATTTGTGTACATCTCTGTTTATGTGCATGAAAGGGTGCAAATGCAAGGATGTAAATGTTGTCAATGAGAGCGGACTCAGCTTACCTCCTCAGTATTCATGCATTCTGTCCCTTTTCATATGCAGTACAGTGCCTCCGCATGAAAAAAGCTACCTTAATTGAAGACTGCTTTCCATGCAGGTTCCGTTCGCCACATCAATAATTCACAGAAAATAATAATAGCTCAGAAGAGTAAATGGAGAAAGGCATGTGTGTTTGTTTGCATACTGCCAACCGGTGGAAAGA